CACCTTGCACCGGCTGCAGACCAGGTTCCGCCGCTCTGCCGGTGGACGGAGGACCGGTGGCCGGTGACCGGTCGGGCAGGCGCGCGCCGCCAGCGCCTCACACGGCACCGCTGGCCCCCTCACCGGCCACGAGGTGTGAGCCTGCAGTGCAGAAGGCACCACGTGGCGCGCCAGGCACAGCCGGAGCGGCTTAGCGCGTGCGCTGCCAATCCGCGGCACAGTGGAGAGCTGAGGACACAGTGGACAGGTGCGGATGTGGACAGGTACGGATGTGGACAAGTACGGATGTGGACAGATGCGGCTGTGGACAGGTACGTCTGTGGACAGGTGCGGCTGTGGACAGGTGCGGCTGTGGACAGGTACGTCTGTGGACAGGTACGTATGTGGACAGGTGCGGCTGCGGACACGTTCAGACGTGGACAGGTACGGATGTGGATAGGTACGGTTGTAGACAGACACGGGTGTATGTCGGATCTGAGAAGTGCGGATGTTTGTCAGGACTAGCAGGAGCGCATGTTTGTCGCAGCTGACAGGTGCGAATGCTTGTTAGGACTCCCGCAGTAGGTAGCATGTCAAAAGCAAGGACAGATAACTCTGCGAACAGCAAAACGCGGGGAAGACGCATTCCAACAATCATCTATCAAAGCTCCCCTGGCTGCACCATTTCCGTGATCCATGCTCTGAATCTTACAGCATGTCATGTTATGAACAGTATCTTTTCCAATGATGTGTCTTAACAGAAACGTTTCATATTTATGGGAGCGGTGAATAACAGTTGTATATTGTGGTACACAAGGACTTTATCATTTCAGTTTGCTAATGCCTAAAACGTCCGAGTTGTTGAATTCCAATGGCATCCATGTATCAGAGTATTTCAGAGCGCACCGCGCAGAAACTTCAGTGATTCGCCATCACGAACGTCAACATCAACAGCCAGCGAGCCGGCCGCCACCCATCTCTGCCCAGCTCCAATTTAGCTGAATGCAACCTCATACGGGGCACGACGCACGGAGGCTAACTATTTCGCCCCGTCCAATTGTGATGCTTCAACCACTCTTTGGTAAAACGATCAAATAACCTCGTCAGCGTTCTCTGTTTGACAATGTGCACACTTTTTTAGAGGCCCGTTTCAGACGAAACGGGCCTCTAACGAAACGAAACGAAACGGCCCCCCCCCCCCCCCCTCCCAAATGCCTCAAAACCCCCGACCGGGCGGCGGCCGCCGCTGACTGCCAGGACCGCTGACCGCTGGCCGCCGCCCCAACCAGGAGGCTCCCCCTCACCGTCGGTCATGTCGGGGATCTGCTGCGCCGAGAAGTCCCAGGCCTGCAGCCGGTGACTGACGCACGGGTAGCCGATCACCTGCATCAGGCTGTCGTAGCCAGCCAGCGACTCCATCGGCGGCTGGTCACTGCAACACGGCACCGCCCGCCGCTCAGCAGCCGCCAGGCGTCTAACCGACCGCCGCCGCCGCTGCACGCTCCAACGGCGGCGGTCCACCGTGCCGACTCGAGCGGGGTGTCGGACCCACACGGACTCGGCAGGGGTGTCCAAACCCGAGAGCGACACATCTCACGACCACCGCTGTCTTACTTTACGCCGCATGGAACGGCCAAGAGAGGACTCGCTCTCGCTCTCGATCTCTCGCTCTATCTTCTCTTCTCTCTATCTCTCTCTCTCTCTCTCTCTCTCTCTCTCTCTCTATCTCTCTTCTCTCTCTCTCTCTCTCTCTTCTCTCTCTCTCTCTCTCTCTTCTCTTCGCTCTCTCTCTCTCGCTCTCTCTCTCTCCTTCTCCTCTCGCTCTCTCTCTCGCTCTCTCTTCGCGCTCTCTCTCTCGCGTCTCCTCTCTCGCGCTCTCTCTATCTCGCTCTCTCTCTCTCTCGCTCGCTCTCGCTCCGCTCGCGCTCTCTCTCGCGCTCTCTCTCGCGCGCTCTATCTTCTCGCGCTCTCTCTCGCGCGCTCTCTATCTCTCTCTCGCTCTCTCTCTCGCGCTCTCTCTCGCTCGCGTCTCTCTTCTCTCCTCTCTATCTCTCGCGCGCTCTCTCTCTCTCGCGCTTCTCTCGCTCTCGCTTCTCTCTCTCGCACTCTCGCACTCTCGCACTCTCGCACTCTCGCGCGCTCGCACTCTCGCACTCTCGCACGCCCGCACGCGCGCACGCACGGAAGCACGCACGAAGCACGCACGCAAGCAGCACGCACGCACGCACGCAAGCACGTACGTACACACGTACGTACGCACGTACGCACGCACGCACGCACCGCTTCCATAACCGGGACGTCCCCCGCAGGTCATGCGGGGTGCCATCAGAGCCGCCGCGGGCCGCGCCCGAGCGCCGACACTCACCCGAACACCTCGGCGCCGCCGGCCACGCCCAGGTTGGCCGAGCTCGGGTTCAGCCGCCGAACAGGCCGCCGTACGGCCGCAGCCGGTAGTAGGTGGGCGGCGGCGGCAGCGCCGGCGGCAGCTCGGCGTCCAGCGGTGGGTAGCGCCCCAGGTCGGCGAACTCGGCCAGGCTCGCCCACGAGCTGGCGCGACTCGGGGCGCGCGCGCGGCGGCTGCGATCGGGCGGCGCCACGACGGTGGGCGTGGCGGCCGGCGGCGGGCCCGTCACCTCGATGCGCGGCGCGCCGCGCGCCGGCACCGGCGCCGGCGCCGGCTCGCCGTCGGACCAGCGCAGCGCGGCCGAGAGAAACGGATCGGCGTCAGAGCGGAGCGGGCCCCGACCGCGGCGAGCTCGGCTCGGTGGGCCAGGCTGGCCCGGCCAGCCGCTGCCAGGCGCGGTTGGTGGGCGCCGGCGCCGGTCCGCCGCCGCCGCCGCCGCTGGCGCCGGGTCCGAGTCGCGCGCTGCCTCCACCACGCGCGCCGCGTCCAGCAGCAGGCCCGAGCCGGTGGCCGGCGGCCGACGGCTCCGCCTCGCTGCCGGCCGGAACGCGTTCGCCTGGCGCCGCGTGGCGCCGCCGCCACTCGAGGAACGTCGGCCAGCAGCATGCGGTTGCGGCTGCGCCGGAAGCCGGGCCGCTGCCGGTCCGACTCGGGCGAGCCGGGCCGCGACGACCGCAGCCAGTCGGCGGCCAAACCGCGGCCCGGCGCCGCCTCCTCGCCGGTCCGCCGGCTCCCGCTCCGAATCCGGCTCCGGCTCCGGCTCCCGCTCCTGGTCCGGCTCCGGGTCCGGCTCCGGGTCCGGGTCCGCGTCTGGGTCCGCCGCCTCGGCCGGGCGGCCCCGGCCACGAGATGGTGCCGAAGTCGGGCAGGTACGGCAGCCGCCTCCGCCCGTACCTGGCCGGCGCAGCGGCGGTTGCAGTCACGCGGGACCGGCGACGGGGACGGTCATCGCCGAGGCGACACGGCCAGTTTGTCAGAGGCAAAACTTTGCGGAAAACAGTGCGTACCCAGCTAGTAACAAACAGCAAAAGCGAATGTGGTTTACGTTTTACTAGTGTGCACCCATAAACATTGATCGAACGCTCTCCACCGGCCTTTGTTGGCGAAAAATGTACAACAGCCTAATTACCAACACCCTTTAGCAGCCCTGCTTCCGCCACAGGGTCCCGCTCGGGAGAAGCGCAAGGCGTTCATCGCGGACAGTGCCCACGGCCGACAAACAAACGCAACGGTCCGCCGACCACTCACGGATTCCAGAAGTCGCGGCCAGGCAGGCGACCGCGCACACGCATGAAGCCGGAAGACGACGGCGATGGCGACGGCGACGAGTAGAGGGACGACGGCAGGAAGGCGGGTGGCGCGGCGGCCGCGGCGGCCGAAGACGGGCGCCGAAGACGGTGTCGGCGCCGGAGCCGGCGCGGGAACCGGGGCCGGGACGGGCGCCGGAACCGGCGGCGGCCGAGTCGGTGAGCCGGCCGGCTCGCTCCGCGACGGGCCCGGCTGTGGCCAGTCCGGCGGCCGAGGCGCGCGCGACGTCCCGGCGCCGGCCGGCGGCGCGCGCGCCCGCCACACTGCCGGCAGCCGGGCGCGGCGGGCGGAGGCGCCGGCGCCGGCGCCGGCTGCCGCTGGCGAAGCTGCTCCACCGTCAGCGGCTCAGAGCCGGACAGCTGGCGCAGCATCAGCCGCACCTGGCGCTCGGCCGTCACCACCTGCTGCTGCGTCTGGCGCGTCAGCTGGTTGCAGCGCGCCAGCGAGTGCTGCAGCCGGTACACGGCGCAGCGCAAGCTCGAGTGGTTCTGGCGGCCAGAGGCGGCCGCGTCAGGACCGGGCGGAGGTCACAGCGCACCGCGCGGGGCACGACCCAGCACCGCACGCCGCCTGGCAGACCGAAGCGGCTGTGCAACACGTGTACAACGCCAGCAACCGCCTCTCACAGCCACCTCACACAGCCACCGTTCAACATAGACACTGCCAGGCGGCAAGCAGCCACCACGCGACAGCAGACCACTACACAGACGGTCGGCCCCGACACTCCACACACAGCATGGGCAGGCGGCTCGGCACCACAGCCCGGCCCCACAGCGGCGCCGTGCGCCGAGCACTCACCCGGGACAGCCTGCTGGCGGAGCGGGCGTGGGGACGACGCAGCGAGAAGTGCGGTGGCAGCGGCCGCGTGCGACTGGAGCCGGCACCGACACCTGGCGGCCGACGCCCAAACTTGTCATTCCGGACGGGGCCGTCAAAAGGACCGCCACGGGAGTGGGCAGCGTCGTAGGGGCCATGGCTCGCGGGTACTGCCTCCCAAAAGCTACATCCAAACAAAATCGTTGGCTTGTCCAATCCAAACACCGTTGGCTTGCGGCAAATCTTTCACTGAAAATAAGCTAAGCCACTGGGAAAGACGCGTTTCACAGCAGCCAAGCTACTCACCTCCGGAGGGGTGAGCTTCGCCCCAAGAAAGCGTGCACCAGCCGCCGGACAACGAACAATCAGGCAAGCAGCTTCCGCACAGACAGCGGTCTGAGTTCAGCGAGGCCCGCTGAACTCCGACCCCCAGGCTCGCTCCGCACACCGCCGTCGTCCGTCCGCGGCGCCGAGCGCGCGACCCGGCGGAGCGCCGGCGGCGTCACCTACCGTCCAGGCCGCCGTCATCCGAGGTGTCAGTGAGGGCCGGCCGTGTCGGGCGGCGAGTCCGAGTCGGCGCCGTCCTCCGACGAGCGGTGCACCCTGCCGGACGGCGCGAGCGGTGACGCTCCGGGGGACGCACCCGCGCGGGGATCCGGCCGACGCCGCCCCAACCGTTGGCGGGTGACCGTGACCGCAGTGCCGCGAACATTAGAGAGAGCATGTCCTTCTAGGCGTGATACCCCCGTCGAAAATTCATGCCGTGCTCACGCCATATAGCCTTAAAGGGCATCTTGAGAGCGACGCCGACAGTGACATCTCACATATATCCTCGCCAGTCACCATGCACCGTAAATCGTTACAAAGCGTGCCAAACGCACGCCTAAAACCGGCAGCACTGACGGCCCACCGCACGTGCGCCGGCCCCTGGCCCGCATCGGTAATGATCCCGCCACCTCGTCAGCGGGGCATTTGGCGAGCAGCGACAGGGGAGTGGGGCTGACGAGCGGGGGCGACGGCAGGGCAGGGGCGGGGGAGGGCCGGGGCCGGGTGGCCGGGTACCGGTGGCGGTGAGCGCCGTCCGTTACCTGGGCGCGGCTCGGGAGCGGAGCCGCGCGCCGCGCCTCAGCACCGACCGCCGGGAGAGGGCCGGCGCCGGCTCGACGGCCGGCACCTCCGGCAGCCGCTGCAGCGAGGCGTACAGCGCGCGGATCTGCTCCTGCAGCGAGCCCAGCATGCCGCGGATGCTCTGCAGCTGCGACACGTAGCTGGCCTGCTGGCGACCCAGCTCCACGCGGAACCTGCAGCACACGCGCCGTCGCCGTCAGCGCCGACCGCGGACACGCCCGGACAGACGGGATCCAGCCGCTTTACACTCACACTCTCCCAGTTCTGTGCCCTCCTCTCTCCCTCTCTCTTCACATCCATATGCTCCTGCTTTTTCTCACTCATCTCTCTATCTCCAGCCGCTTCACACTCACACTCTCCCCGCTCTGTGCCCTCCTCTCTCCCTCTCTCTTCACATCCATCCCCTCCTGCCTTTTCTCACTCATCTCTCTATCTCTTTAACCACCTGCCTTTTCTTTCGCCCCCTCCACCTCCCCAACGGCGATATCCATCTCCCGCCCTTCCTCCCAACGCCTTGTCCGTTCCAACACCTGCTCTGTCGCCATTTCACCTGCACCACCCCTACATATTGGCCGCCCTTCCCTCCCGCTGCCGCCTCTCGCCGGCTCCGGCGCCGCACTCACCGGGTAGCGCGCTGCATGTTGGCCACGTGGGCGGTGATGGCGTCCAGCCGGGAGCGGAACTCTTCGCTGAGTCGGGCCGGCGGCGGCGGAGGAGGCGGCGGCGGCGCGGCCGGCTGGTCGGCGCCGGCGCCCCCCGGGCCCACGTCCCAGCCGGAAGTGTACGGTCGCCGGCGCACGGGCACCTCCCGCGGGTGGCCAGAGCCCGGCGGCGGCACCGGGTCGGCGCCCTGTCGCCGGCGGCAGGCGCGGGCCCGGTCAGAGGCGGCGCGCGTACACAGAAGGGAGCGAGCACCGACCACACACAGCACGACACGCGGACTCGTGATCATAAACCAACCACCTGCTAACACGTTTGAGCGTCACCAATTAGCAAACAGTAAGAAACAGACAAGCAAACTCGCCAATACACAGGCGGCCGTCACCCAGAGGCCTCCAGGGCATCGCCAGAGCCCGTCATGTCAGTGCCCTGCATCCACCCCCGAGCCCTGTCACCACGCGGCCGGCCGAGCGCCCGGCGCCGCGTCCCTGGCCACTCACGTGCTCGGGCCGGCCGGCGCCCGGCTCGCCGGTCCGGACCCATGTCCGCGATGATGTCGCTCAGCGAGTCCATGACGCCGTGCGCCCAGCTGAGCATCTCGCGCGAGTCGGCCTCCAGGTCGGCCATCAGGTCACTGGGCGCGGCGCCGGCGGCGGCCGCGGCCGTCACGCGGCCCGCGTACTGGCGCGCCAGCTCCAGCACGGCGTGCGCCGCCGGCTCCAGGGGCGGCGGCGGCGGCGGTGGCGGGGGCGGCTGGCGTGCGGCGGAGGAGGCGGGTGGCGGAGGTGGCGGCGTGTAGCGGGCCAGGCCCGGCTGCAGAAAGGCACGGGAGCGGCGTCAGGCGCCACTTAAAAAACCACACACGCTAGCGCACAGGTGCCCGACTACACCACTCCGGCAGTTCGCCTGGACGTCACAGACGAGCGGCAGCCGGTTCCGAGCCGTCCCTCTAGTGCCAGACGCCCAGTAAGAAACGGCAGACAGGACCGGCCGCGGAAGTCCAGCAGACAGGCTTTCACGGAGGCGTACGGCTAGGGAGAGGGGGACGATGGATGGGGTGTAAATACCACGCAAAACTCAGGCCAGCATAAGTGCACGTGATGTAACTTGTTGCACGCATGTTCCTTGTACCCTCCACATCCCTAACGTGCGTAGCGTCCACCATATTTGCATACGAAGTCCGAAAATCGACAATCATAAAACCCGTCCCCACCAGGCGGTATGCGCCGCGACACCCAGCTTATTTTCCCCTGCTGGCGGACCGCCGGCCGCGCTGGCAGCGGCTGGGCCGAGCGGCCCTCGGCCGCTCACGGTTGATGGCCGGCGGCCGGCCGCTGCGAGCGCAGCGACAGGTACTGCGCGTGCAGCTGGTCGTTAGCGCCGCGTCAGTGAGCGGGCACCGACTCGAGCGAACGGAGCGCCGTCGAGGCGGCCAGCGTCGTCTCGGCGGCGCCCCGCCGCCGCCGGCGCCCCCTCCGCCGACGCCGCCACGTTTGCTGATGGGCCGTGATCAGCTTGTGGCCGAGCGGGTCGAACTTGACGTACCTGCGGCCGTGTTCGGGGGGGGGGGGGGGGGGGAGTCAGCGTCGCCGCTGGCGCCACGCCACAACACGAGCTGTGCGGCGGACGCGACCGGCACCGGCCGCTCACACAGACGGCCTGGTGCCGCCTCGCTGCGCTGCCAGGCCGTGGGCAGGGCTTCTGGTTTCCAAACACCTAAAATAGTTGCTTTGGATGGCTTCTTCCTATGAGCGTATTGGATATTCGTTGCAAGCGTTCTCGACGTCAATGATCCATAAGATTTAAATGATAGCATCAATTCGTTACCAATCGGTGCGTATTCCAGCGCCATTTCCAGCAACTGATTCTGTGTTTGGCCACAACGATGACGCATTTTCAGTCTTCTTCGCCGCGCAACTAATTTAAGCCGCCAGCGTGGCGATCGATTCAGACATCACAGCTGCGAAGGCCACCTTCCGGCCACCGACGCGCCAGCTTCCGAACTGGTAATCGTGTGCATTACACGGCAAGCCCGAGAGTTCACACCAAACATACCAGAATGCATCCAGCTGGAAATAATCGTTCCCTACGTAAACGGTCATGCGCTACCCCCAGCGCAGTTCGTGTACAATTCCTCCTGATCTGCGCAGTCATGCTGCACTCGACCACCCGCGTGGGCGTGTGGCTCGCCTCTCAGCTCTGGTTCGAGCCTTTGAACGCCGCACCGCACACTCCTGGCTGCCGCTCCAAGCGCTACCGCTGTGCAGCAGCGCGCCTCTCCCCTGACCAGCCTGAGGCCGCCCCTCCCCCGGTCCCGCCACACGCCCCCCGTCAGGACTGACCTGAGTCGCTCCTTGGCGCGCAGCGTGCTGCACTGCACGAACGGCTCGGTGCTCTGCCAGTTCCAGAAGTACAGGTGATTGCCGGTGGCGATGACCAGCACGTGGTCCACCGGGTGGAAGGCGAGCGAGGGCGATCACGTGCGTGGCGTCCGCCTGCCAGCGCTCGCTGCCCGCCCTGCGGACCCGGCGCCGAGCGGCCGACGCGTCACGCACGGCGGCGCGGAGGACGACAGCCCCCGTGTGGGGGCCCGCTGCTGGCGCCGCCACACACCCGGCCGCAACGCCGAGCTCAGCCGTAGTCAGGGGCAAGGAACGTCGCAAATGAACACATGGTATAGGCGCAGTTGGCTGGCAAACGACTTCCTGTTATCTGTTGCTGCCCAGCCTGGACAATTCACCAACATTTACATTCCTCTAGTTTATTGAATCGCTAGGTTACTTTCACGCTTATTTTAACTGATAACAATGTCTACCTGACTATAATCCTACTGGGATCTGGAAAGCTCCATCAGGTTTTCCAGCTGTAGGTTCTGAGCCGTTTGCAGTGCAGCGCCAGAGACTGGTGACCTCCATTAGCCCTTAGGACGTACATGACCGAAACTTAGGACCACCACTCAGCCCTCGCTCGACCCACGTCTCTCCCCCGTCGGCGTCGACTCACGTGCAGGTCCCAGACGCGAACCTGTCCGCCCAGGCAGCCGGACGCGATCAGCTGGCTGTTGGTGGTGGTGGAACGCCACACACCAGGGGCTGCGCGGATGGCCGCGCTAGCGTTGTTGAGCAGCGCGGCCGCTCTCCATGTCACGTCACGTATATGTTGTGGTCACCGTGCGTGGAGGCGATCCGGCTGCTGGCGGACGGGAGGGCAGCGGTGAGACGGCGGTGAGAGGGCGGTGAGAGGGCGGCGAGACGGTGGTGAGAAGGCGGCGAGACGGTGGTGAGCAGGTGGCGAGACGACGGTGAGAAGGTGACGAGAAGGCGGTGAGAGGTGGTGAGACGGCCGCACGCCGCTCTTCCAGAGAGGAGCTAAAGCGGCAACGAGCGGTGAGAGGACCAGCGGACGGGAGCGACGGCGCGTGGAGCAGCTTCTTGTCTTGAGTGTGCTCTGATGAAGTTGGCTGAGGGCTCAGATGTGACAAAGCAGCGCACGCTGCCTGGGCGGAGGCGGCCGGGTCGAGGCTGGGAGCACTGGCGGTGTACACCAAAAAGCACGAGCGTTGCACCGGCAGAGCAACGCACCCCTGTCTTGCGTGCTCCTGTCGTGGCGCAGCAGTGCAAGCACAGTCACTGCGCCTTTTCCGCGTCGGAGGTTCTCGGACAAACAGTGGGATCACCGAGAACACAGTACGGACCGAGATCGCGTCCTTGGCACTGCAGAGCCATTCAGGAAAGGTCAATCTACACGAAACGAAAACAACTATAAAAGAAACAGAAAAAACTCATACAAAAACGTAACAAAAGAATGGGGCACAGACGGATTCGTGTCACCGCGCTTATAAGTCACGTACCGGTGACACTGTGCAGTGACAAGTGATCAAGCGAGCTAACTCACACTCTGGCATGTGTTTACCCTCAACGGCGTACGACAAATTGGTCGCCATCGCTGTCTAAGCGTCACACATTCCCCGTTCTCCTTCGTCGCACTCACCACTTCCTCGGTATCCAAACACCGAGGCGCATCGACACTCATGCACATACTAGCACCACTATGCGTAACACGAACGGTCCGTGCTTAATCTTGAGGATCCCGACTGCTCGGCTTAGTAGTGGTCCCAGAAACAAACCTGCATAACCACGGAAACAAACGAAGTACCTCGGCTAAGCTGTTGTTACGTCCCCCAGTCTTGCAGCCTTCAAGCTGCGCTCACGAGACCCGCGCCTCATCCCGCCCGAGCAGAGTCTCTTCCAACCCACCTCAACCATCCACTTAAAGTACGCACATGCGCCACTCTGTACACAGGCTGCTCCTACTGGCTCCAAACACAGAGCACGACCTGGGGCAGACTCCGATCCCGCCCCACGGACAGATGGCTTAAACCCCGAATCAATTCCGACGACGCCCATCGCGGTGGCGACGGCTTAAGGAAGCATAATAATTCCTAGGTTTCTTAAAACCTGCTAGAGCATCGCATTCACTGTACTCAACTATTAAGGTGTGACTACATATATATATATATATATATATATATAATATATATATATTGTTGCTTAAATTTGTCAACTTATCAATGATTCCCACCCTTTGACAACTTGACTGCATCCCTAAATCATAAGTTTTCAGAAGAATCAACTTTACCCTCCTTGAACCAAAGTTCCGCTGACTCCAGGGGCGACTCCAACACCATCCGGCGTCATGCACATGTCGTTCGCCACGTGGTCCTGAGCCTGTCCTTGTCCCCTGCCCCTGCTGGCCGCTGGATGTGCCCGGCTCTCGTCCCCAGCACTCACCCGTCACCACTAAACGCCATCAGGAAGGTGGACTTGGCGCTGGCCGGGATCTGGCAGGGCTGAAAGGGGGCGGCGCCGGCCGGTCAGCGGCGCTGCTGTCTCCAACGCCAGAGCTCAGGACAGCTCATCTACCCAACAGGCACACAGCCTAACGATCGAGTAGGTCCGCGACATGGCAATGCCCTTAACATTAAGCAACCAACAGCCGCCTACGGACACGACAATGTGGCGTTCTGCAAGGCGATCTTGGCATTAAATACGAGAGATCAATGTGGTGGCAATAATTGCAAACCACTCGATGGTGTGAGCAGTTCAAGAACAACTGCTGATTAAAGTTCCCTTGATGCTTCACATGTGGTGTGGGGTTCAGCCAATGGCCACAACTGATAAACCTATATGTCTCTGCATTGGACTAGAACCACTCATTGGCTGTTTCAGACAAAGGCACTTGTCTGTATAAACAAGAATTGGGTTCTTACCTTATTTTACAAAAGAAATACAGTTGCCTAATGCATCACAAACCACTCGTTTTGATCACACAATTCTGAGACACGAACACAGCTTATTTTGTTCAAAAGAATACTACGTCCGTAAAGCAGCATGAGACGGACCACAGCGCGCCGCCATCACTCCCAGCAGTGCATCACAAGAGCGCACGCGCGCGCCGGCTTCACGTGCGCACCTTCTCCTGCAGCGGCTGGGTGACCAGCTTGTCCTCGTGCGCGTCGAGCAGGCGCCGCTCGGGCGGCGGCGGCGCCGCGGCTGGCCACCGCCCAGCGCCCGATCACTGATGGCCTGCGGGAGGGGGGCGGCCGGCGCGGCCGGCGCGGCCGGCTCGGCCCGCTTCTCGTCGGCCAGGTGGCCCTGCAGCAGCGACATGGCTCGGCTCGCCGGCCGCCGCCGGGACTCGGGCCGGCGGTCACGGGCGGCGCTCCACCCGCACCTGGCCTTGTGACGTTCGCTCGCTGTGATCACGTGCTGTTGTGATCAGGTGCATCAGCTGTGGAGAAGGACAATGTCATGTGTGTCAAGTGTGTCATGTGGATCGCCAGAGCCCGACTTTCAATTCGAATTTGAGCATTGCCTGAACCTGCATGCCTATTGCAGGTACAGGATAACAATAACAGTGGAGAAGGAACTCAGAAGTTGTAAAACACACTGAACGAGTGTGCACCACACATACTACAAGTGTGCCAAATCATACCACCTGTCAAGTAAACATTGTAAAATAGGTCCCAATTGGAACTTTTGAAATGTGAACTATATTTTTGCATATCTCTTATTTAACAAAGGAGGCCTGTTTCCATGAACACAGAATGGAACTTCATGAGAGCAGACCACAGGCAAAAGACTGTCCCTTGATGGGAAAACATGTGACATGAGTAGCTAATTCAATTTTGTATGTTCTGTTTCAATGCTAAACAGCTCCCATTTGTCATCTAGATATTTTGGTCCCCTTTGATCATAAACCCCAAAGCAAGTCATTTTTACTTGTAGACATGTGCTGGATCCCAAGGGTTGATCCAGAATATCATATGGATATATGCTGATGGAATCCTAGGATCTTCTTTGAGCTTCAGTCACAAGTATGCCTGCTTGCTTGTAAACAACTTACTTTCACATTTTTTAATTTTCTTCAGCTCTAAAAGCATCACACCAAATGACTTAAATTGCCTAGCTCAATTGATTACTAAAAATTCATCACAAATTTGATCATCCTTGCGACCTCACAATGCGCCCACAGCTGAAGCTGTATGACATCGCCTGCAACCACACCTCATCCAGGTAGGAAGGGCAGGCACCACAAGAATCAAAACTTTACCACCAGTTTCTAAGATGTCCAGCTAAACCACTGCAACACCAAAGCCCTATGTACAAATTTGTGTTATGATTTGACAGTCACCAAATCACATGCACTATAGTGTCACCTTATAATGCATGCCATCTACACATCATGTGGCCCAACCTGAATAAACTTGCTTCCTCCTCCCAGTGTAGACCAGATGATACTAGAATGTTCAGGGTCAAAGGCACCCAGACAAGCCCCATTTTTAATACTGCATGGTCAGGAACCAATATGCTCTAATGAGGCACTGCTTAGTTATATATACCCATCTTTCTACAATGCATACTTGATCAAAAAGCACTTTAAAAAGATTATCTAAACTCAAGCAAAGTTACAGAATTAGGTCAATCACATCATGCCCAGCACTCATGCACTATTTTGAAGTCAGATTCATCTCCTTTGTTTTCTACACCACATACTTGCACTTGTTATACTAGGGTTAAAGTTTGAATAAAATACTTTGGTGACAACTTATATTGTACATAACTTTACACTATAGCTAAATTAATAATGCTCTGTTTAGTTTTAAAAAATTGTCAATTGTTATCTCTTTCTGCAAGTCCTACATGTTGGGCCTAAACAAAAATGTCAGTATTGCATATCATAACTGAAACAACTGATCTTAACTATAACTAAACAGCAAAACAGACTCAACAAAAC